AAATAATTTTACATTAATAATAATAGTATTAAAAATAGAATTACACTTTTTTTTTTTTAAACTATTAATCTTGAATCCGTTTCACACAAGGCCGCCAAAAATAATTATTTAAAAATCTTTCATAATTAATTAAAAATAAATTTTGTATACGTTCATATTTCCTCTTTTTTTTTTTACTTTAAAAATTTTTTATTTAAATAAGTTATTATAAATCGAATCGATTGACAAACGGAAACAATGCATATAAAAAAAATCAAATCCAAATATACAATGAGCGTATATATTTAAAAATTATGAATAAACTAAAAAAGAAATTTTCAACGGTATATATATAAATATATATAAGAATAATAAGATTTGAGTAATTACTATAATTAAAATTATATATTTTATTAACGAGTTTCGAAATAAAATAAAAAAAAACCGTTACTTTCTATAACTTTTCCGCCATTTTTCTTATCTATCACATTTATTTAAATGTGTAAAAATATTTAACCTACTCATATTTCATATATTTATATATATATAAAACTAATTAACTTATCATTCTTATTTCTTTTGTAACTTTTAAAAAACAATATTTGACAAAAAAAATTTAAACAAATATTTAATGCACATTAATTTCGAATTAACAACAAAAGGCTATAATATAATTGTGACCTTTTAACTTTTTAATAAAAAAAAAAAAAAACTTTTCTTTTATAAAAATACATTTTGTCTTAAATTTCTTTTCTTTTCTTTCTTTTCTCTCCCCCCACTTTCTTTACAACAAAACATTTTCTAGAAAATAAAACAATTTTCTTTTAAAAACACTTTCCCCTCCCTCTCTCTCTTTCTTTCTCATTAACAATCAAATAAACTAAAACAAATAGTATCAATAGTATAGATTTCATTTTAAACAATTTTTTTTATACACATTTAGTACAAAAATCGAATCATTAATAATAATAATAATAATAAAAAACAATTCAACAAATGATTTAGTATTATATATATATATATATGTTTAACTTTTTGCTAACAAAATTTTTATTAGCAATTTAATTATTGTTTTTTAATATAATTGAAAATTACTTTTTTTAAACATAAAATGAAATTTTACATAAATGATTTTGTCAATTTGAACATGCAAAAAACTGTTTGTTTATTTATTTTTGTTGGAAATCACATGTTACATAATAATAATCCATATATATTTATTTATATAAACATATATAAAATTTATTATGTTTTACATATAATCTAAGTTATAAATATTTAAACATTTAACATAAAACGTACAAAGATGAAGTAAAATGCTTAAAGCAACTTATTTTTTCTTTTCTTTTAAAACATTAAACACATAAATAAACGTTCTCAATGATAATAATAATAATAATAAAAAAAAAACATTTATGTAAAATTCGTTTAAAACAAAAAGTATTTTTCTTTTTTAGTATAAAACGTAGATTTCAAAAATTTAAATCGTATGCATGGTACCTCTTCCTCGTGATAATTAAATTATTTTTAATTATATATATTTATAAGGGAGCAGAAAACAAATACAAAACATTAATTTTAATTTTTTATCTGTGGACAAAAAAAATTTGAATTATAAACAATTAAAATAAACCCTATAATATTATTGCAAAACACTTTTTCGGTATAAATGACCAAAAAAAAATGTCGATCGAATAATTCAATACAATAACTTTTAATTAACATAATTAATTACCACGGAGGAATCAGATTCCTGGTAAACATATATATTTTGAAATATTAATTAAACTTAATAATAATTTAATTAAAAAATTCTTTGACCGTTACCCACACTCAATGACTTTTTTCTTTTTTTTTTTTGTAAAGGTTACATAAGAGATCATAATAATATTTTTAAAAAAAAAAAAATAATAATAATATAATTTTTTTTTTGTTAATTTTCTTTTAAATAACGAAAGATATATAACATATATATGAGAGCTTATCATTATCATTATTAAATTAATAACAAACAAACAAAAAAAATTCGAACTTTTTTAATTTCTCGTTCATTCATTTAAGACTCTTTATAAAACAATAATAATAATAATAATAATACATTATTGGTTTTAATCATTCTCGTAACATATATAATACATTAAAAACAAAACAAAAAAAAAAAATTTAATTCCTAAGGCTTTTTATTTAATTAAAGGTGTAGCAGTAGTAGTAGTAGTTTCGAATGCACCACGTATGTGCGCGTAAATTTAT